AAAAAAAAAAAAAAAAAACCACACAAAAAAGAAAAGAATAAGGGACTGATATCACTGTATGTATCTACCACTAAAGCAATTCCTTACAAAAAGCCTATAAGCAACATATACAACCAAAAAGACCACATCAATGTCGAAACCTTATTCTACCATCATGCCAAACAAAGGACAAGATATAATTTAGCATCAACGTTCAGCCTCAACTTGATGTTCAAGAATTCGAGTGCCTCACATATACCAGTTCATCATCCTCACAAAGAAGTAAATATTAGTATGAAATAGTCCTGTGAACCAATCACAAATATCATTATTTGGTAAACATTTAATGAATGAATTGGCACTCAGAGATAATTAAGTACCAAAAATTCCCATGGCGACATCTCTCAGTAAAGACTCAAGAATCCTATCTTCCAACCATAGAGAAGCTTGTGCTCCAAAAGCACAGAGTTATGAACAATGATTTATTGCACTCCAAATCACTTCAATAGTCAATTCGTGATTACATTGAATTAAATTTCCAAATGAAAGTGTCTCTATAGTCTATTCTATAGACAAGATAATTCTTTTTTACCTAATAGTGAGGCAGACGACGGTATAACATTACTGAATAAATTGCCCAACTTTATTTCCGTGAAGGACTAATATTTAGGTTATGAAAAACAATTTATGTGCATTATTCATAAATCTTAAACGTAATTATAGAACCTTATGATGTTTTCTCATTAAACAATATGGTATAGAAAGTCGAGAAAAAATTTATTCATTTATCATAATAATGTCCAAGTACCCACCTTTCTTTTAGGGCACTAATTCTAACATGTTTATCTAAAAAAAAAAAAAACATGAATCACAAAAGACATCTTTCATGCAAAACATTAATTCTTCTAAAAGAAAAGTTTCCTCATAAATGTGTCGATGCTAAGTATGTATAATACCCTTCTTGCATGATTGACAGTCATAAATATGACAGCATGCTTAGTATTGGCACATCTATGAGGAAATCCGTGAAACACACATCTGCAGTAACTAAAGTTGTAGTTCAATTTGTTTATTGCGCGAGGATGTTCGCTAATTACAAGAAGGCTGTTCATTATTCGTTAACTGTGATTATTACATAAACAAGTACATTTAATTTACAAATGAGAAGGGTTACTTATCTTTCCACAAATATGTAAAATTAATTGTTCAACAGTCATTGTACTTCGCTTACTCTCAAAAAAAGTGTATTATGCACAAAAACATGTGCAATGTGCATTATGCAATGTGAAGAAAGATGGACTCGATGCTCTCAGACATGTATGGGTTAGGTTCACAGAGGAAGTAAATGGCTTCGATCTTGAGCGTTCTCGACATCCATGGTATTGCTCCCTCAGCCTTTGTGATTGAGCTTTTCATGGAAATTGGTTTTAGAATTTGACATATACTCAAGATATGACTAACCGATGGTTTTTTTTCCCTATTTCAAACAAAAACCATTTAAAAAGGTTCGGAAAAATTCCTAACCAAACCCAGCCATTTCATTTTCCAAACCAAACCATTTTCTACGGTTTGGTTTGGTTTTAAACCATGGTTTAGTTATTGACATAATAGTAACACATTTAAAACAAGTTAAAATACAAGTAAATTGGTATAAAGTTCTCAATACAAGCTTATATGTGGACTTTTAAAACATAAATATTAGATTACATTAATATTTGTCTCAAATGTATTAATCTTGAAAAGGTCCAAAAGAAAAACAAATAACACATAACGTTTCTGATATTCACATGAGAAAATAGATAGCAATAAAATCGGCACAAAAATAAAAGGGAAAACTTTGGCATCACTACCAAGAAATATCACGTCTCAAAAATTACATTATCAGCCATTTTTTTTTCCTGATTCTGATTCTGATTCTGATTCTGGATCGTTGAAAGTACTAAAATATATAGCAACTAAATATACACACTCTACAACACAATGTTTGTTGCTAAAAGACCGACTCAACGACTAATTGAGTCTGCAAGGCGAAACAAACTTTTGGGGTTTCACAGTTTGATTGGGAAAGCCTTGAGAGGAACTGCCTTCTGTAGTGAAAGACCAAATTTCTCACTCACGTCAATTTCTTCGGGATTCATTCCATTTTCGAGTTTCCAGTCGAAGCTATGAATTAGAGCTGCCACCATGAGATGCACCATTCTATCAGCCAAAGGTAATCCTGGGCACATCCTCCTTCCTGAACCAAATGGAATGAGCTCAAAATCTTGGCCTCTGAAGCCTACTTCAAGGCTTGAAAACCGTTCAGGCTCAAATGAGTCTGGATTTAACCAAAGGCTTGAATCTCTACCAGTTGCCCATACGTTAACAAGTATTTGTGCATCTTTAGGGATTGTATAGCCATTGATTTCTTTGTCAACTTCTGCCTTGTGAGGTACTAAAAAGGGGGCAGGAGGATGATACCTAAAGGTTTCTTTGATCACTGATTGCAGATATGGAAGTTTTGAGATGTCCGATTCTTCAACTTGTTTGTTTCGTCCAATGACAGTCCAGAGCTCGTTTCTAGCTTTTGACATTTTCTCAGGATTACGTATTAATTCAGTCATTGCCCATTCCACAGTGCTAGAAGTAGTGTCTGTTCCTGCAGTGAATAAATCCTAGTATATGCAAGAAATTAGTGATCTATAGTGGCTAACCAAACAAATATAAGTTCATTGTATCCTTTTACCATTTTGTGGACAGGAGATTGTCAAAGTTAATTGTTTTCATAAAGAGACTATAAAATGGTTCTTCAGAAATTTGTGCAGTATGGAAATATAAGTGCTGTAAAACTTGTACCCACCAGAAGTAAATGCTTTAGAACATCCAAGGTTAATTCAGATTCGCTTGCTTGGCTGTGATTCAAGATGGTTTCTAGTAAATCATTTCTCACTAGATGATCCGACGACACACTTCTTGATTTCAACCGTTGATCGATCAAATCATCAAATATCTCAAATACTTTGCTAATGTAATTCTTGGATTTGCTTAGAATACCCTGTGGATCAATGAATTTAAGAACCGGGAAGAAGTCTGCAAGATTAGGAATTGCTGCATTTTCAAACAAACCCCGTATAATTTCTTTTGTTTCTTGAGAAGAATCGGAATTAAATTGAGCAAAATCAGTTGAGAAAAGAGTGGCTGAGATGAGATTAAGAGATGTGGTAAACGAAGCATCACCAATATCGACTACCTGATCACTAATGCAACAATCATTCACATAGTCGTACAATTTCTTTATTTTTTCTTGACGAAGACCCTTGCTTGCATCAAGTCTATTCAACGAAAACATTTGTTCTTTACAAAGTTTACGAAGATTTCGCCACTGGCTAGCCACCGGCAACCAGGCCATAGACTTCTTGTAATGATCATATGCTGCTGCTGCTGCTGGAATTGCTCGAGAAGAAAAGACTTGATCATGCTCTTGTAGTACTTGTTTGGCAATTCCTGGGGATGAGATGACGATTGAATTTCTACTCCCTAGCTCTAAATACATAAGAGGACCATAAATTTTGGAAAGTTCGGTTAGTGATTGATGAGGGTTTTTACCAAGTTGAAGAATGTTGCCGACAATTGGAAAAGGGTAAGGCCCTGGTGGTAACTTGCTGGTTGTCCGGCGCCTCAGATTTGATTTCAAGACATGCCAAACTAGAAAAGATAATACTACAAGAACAAGTGTTAAGAACTCCATTGATTTTTTCTTTTGCTTCACTATGTTTGGAACTAAAAGATAAGGCGACAGATTTGTCCGTACCAAAAGATAAAACTACAGTTTCTAATGCAATTGATTTTTGGATTTTTTATATTGATCCGTACCAATCACTTTGTGATCTATCTGCAAGTGGATTTCATTTTCATCCACAGGTTTGTCTATCCACCAAAAAATGAAATCAAATAATTGCACTGACTAATTTTATCTTATTTGCTACTAATTTGTACACAAGTTACGGAGTGCCATCAGCAAAAACACTGGAACCCGGATAAAAAAATTGGATAACCAATTCAAGAGTGCATTTTTCGCTTTCTTCTTATTGGGAAGTTAAAAATAAGCATAAATCTGAAAATTCTCCGACTGTGCAACCTTCCGAACGTCTGCTGAATCCATGAGTAGGCAAGAGATAACCCGTTGAAAGTTATAGTAGCAAGAGATAAGAAAAGAAAAGAAAAGGTAAAAACTATTCCAACAGAAATAGCAATGAGCGAAATGAGTGCACTTGAACCATGAAAAAGGATTGTGAGATTGTTGCGTTGGCCGGTTCACTTTGATGAAGCTGAACGTCAAAGGGAGAAGCCTCTGCTTCGATGAACCATCCACTAAGTAGGGTAGCGTGGGAGCCTCGGAGGAGAGGATGGAACCTTAAAGAAGGCCCCCTCGTTTGAACTCCGAGACATACATCACAAGCCTCCCTTTGATGAAGCTGAACGTCAAAGGGAGAAGCATCTGCTTGGAGGAACCATCCACTAAGTTGGGAAGCGTGGGAACCTCGAAAAACAAATTCAGCTATATTCAAAGAAATGAGCCTCGACGGTTCAACATTTCTCTACCTCAGCTCCAAAAGAAATTCAGCCTAGGCCAGTTCTTTCATGGAACCGCCTTGCTTCAAAGAAATTCAGCCTAGGCCAGTTCCCTCACGAACTTGCCTCGCCTCAGCATGGACCTACCTCGTCTAAAAGGCAACCTTCTCAACCTTACGCATTGCACCACTTGATGAACTCCACGCCCAGTATGAATAGCTGCACCTGGACTTGCGGGACTGATGTGGGTAGTGAAAAATTTAAAATTTTTCCTAACTTTATTATCGAAGTCCACGCATGGCATAAATAA